GCACGTGGGCTGGAAGTCACAGGCGTACAGCCCCACACTTACAGCCACCAGCTCAGTAATACCCCCCCACCACCTTCCAGACAGGGTGGGGGCACGGACCCAGGTCACACAGGGATGCCCTTCAGACTAAGTCACACACCACCATCACCACCACCATGCGGGCAGCGGACACATGGATGTCACAGGCCAGAAACACAGGGCCCAGCAGCGAGCCCACTTGCTTAGGCCCTGGGGACATCTGAGGGGAAGCCTCTTGCTCCTACCTCTCCAGAGCCCTCTGAGTGGCCAGCCCCTTTGGAGTCTCAGCCCCTGAGACCCTCCCTCCCTCCCTCCACCCCTTACTGCTGCTCCCCCAGCCAGCTCCCCCTCCTCTGCTCTCAGGATGGGCTCCCCACATCTACCCCACATCTGGTCTGTCCTCTGCCCTTCCGCCCACCCTGTGCCTTCTCTGCCCTCAGCCCTCTCTCCACCTCCCCCGTTCTCCTTCAGTGTTCTCCCTGTGCCTTGCCTAGTGCCCTGCTGACCCAGGCCTCCCTGCCCGACCCCTTACCCCAGTCCTGGAGTAGCAGCACCAGCAGCAGCCCCCAGCCCATGGCCCCGCCAGGCCCTGCCCCTCAGTCTCTGGCTCCCTCCCAAGCAGCCTTGGTTTTTCACCTTCAGCCTGGGGAGGCCCGGGGCCCTGAGCATTCCCTGACCAGACTCAGGGCCACAGTGTGGAGGCTCTGGCCTTGCTCTGGGGAGTCCGAGGTCTCATTGGCCTCTGTCCTCTCAGAGCGGGGTCTCTTTCTGCTCTCAGCTTCACAGCCCCCTCCTACTCAAGCCCTACAGTCCCCTCCCCCCAGGGTCAAGACCCAGACCGGGAGACAATTGGGGTGGGGGACAGGGAGGTGGCCAGGGCCAATGAGAGCAGGGCAAAGTTGGGGGGTCAGTCCCGCCCCTTTCCCAGCCTCTGGAATCCTCTCCCAGCCTGTCAGACTCACCCCTTACTTACTCTCAAACATTGGACAAATGAGAGTGGAGGGCTAAGGGTCGTTGGGGCATCTGCTCCTTCAAGACAGGTCCTGAGAATCCAGCGCTGAGAGTCAAGGTTTGAGGGTCCTGGGGAAGGGTGCAGAGCTTCACCTCCTCGTCCAGCCGCTGTCCCAGGCCGGCTGGGCAGCTCATCCCATTAGTTGGGTCCCGCCCTGCCACCCCTCACCATTCCTAGTGCCCCTTTCCAAAGCTGTTTTATTCTTATTGGGACAATGGATTGGAGCCTTCAGGGGTTGGGAGGTGGCCAGCCAGCGGGCAGGCAGTGGAGACCTAGTCTTCCCAGGCCCAGCCTCCACCCCTCCAATCCCCCAACCTCATCCCCAGAAGAAGAAAAAGCCCTCCCAGTCTCCCCCACGCCCCCAGGCTGACCACTGGAAACTAGCAGAGAGAGGGGCTGACTTTGAGACTCCATGTGCAGGGCCCCTCTCCTAAACTCCAGCCTCCTCTTCAAAACTGCGCTTCAGGAAAGACTAGAAGGGTCCCTGCGTGCTGTAGTAGTGCCTGTGAGAAGGGAGAGGAGCCAGGTGGTGCCGAGGGTTAAGCCCTGGCCTGCTAACTGTTGGGCAGATGTATCTTCCGAATTTGTCTTCCAAACTTCTTGACATGGACCAGTGACCATCTCCAGCACTGTATCAGTTTGCTGAAACATTTCAATTGGTACCCAGGCAATCCGTGGAGCCGTGTTCTCCCTGAAGGCCTTCAGTGCACCTTGGGCTTCTTCCTTCGGCACCATCAGTCTTGATCCTATGCTCCGTGCGGAAATGGTCAAACACTGACCGATTCTTTTGGGGAGAGTGGCTCTGTGTAGTCCTTCCATCTTCTTTTGGCATTGTTTGTGTTGTTCTCTTTATTGCCCAGAGAATCTTTCAATATTTCGCTCTGGGGGCTGAATTTTCTGTTCAGTTCTCTCAGCTTAAGAAATGCCAGTTAGCGCCTCCACTCAAGCACTCCCTCAACGCAAGAACACTTTGTTCTA